ATAAAATGCGTAGTTTTTGAGTTATTCGCGTAAAATACTTTGAAAAAGTGTTTTTTTTTCACTCAAAATTCGAAGTTTTCAATCGTGAATAACTACTATTGATTTCTCGAAGAAATTCTTCGAATATTTTTAGCTCAAAATTTGATTCTCTATCGATTTCCAGCGTTATTATTGAAAAAAAAATTCCACCCCCGAGAAGAGGTGTCAACCTCCAACAGGGTGGAAGCGTCAATCAGCGGTATGTCACTAATGTTCATTGACCTTTTCTCTAACTATCTGCCAAATTTCAAGTCGATCGGTTCAGTTTCAAAGAATTCGGAGGTGAAAAGCTTCAATGACGGTACTACTAGTACAAAAGAAATAATTCATACTATTTGTCTAAATACCATGTCCATTTCAAAGGACATTTCACGCAGAATGATAAACGAAACATGTTTAAAAATTTTAATTTAGAAAATATAAAAATTGTAAAACATATTCGACACGCAAATTGTTGTAGAAATGCAGTCCTATCCGTTCAATTTTTCTCAAAAATTTACCACTTGGGAAAAGTATCCAAATTGGCCCACCCTGAATATACCTACTTAAGAAAATTCAATTTTGAATTATTTCGGCACTTCCGCGAAATTGTTCCTCACAAATAGCCTGTTTGAATCGCTGTTACGCAAGTAAATACATCCAGTGCCAATGTCCTTTATAGTCGACTACATCTACGCAATCTACATTACCTATATTACCTGGTACATGACTAAGTACTAAAAATTCCGTACGTCGTCCATGTTTAGCTTCAAATAATATCTTTATTATCCCGATCAGGTCCCGAACCCGACCATTAGCCTCGTGTAGCAGTTCTTCGTATTGCGCAACCAATCCAACTGTATCCAAATTACATCTATTACCTCTTGATTGTCTATACGGACGCGGGTATATATATATTTTAATAACATTATTATTTGCCTCCTCAGCTATTACCCCTGTCAGTCGCAGGCCGCTGGCTTTTTTGCTCTGCTGCCTTTTTTATTATTCATTTTCACTAACTGTTGTTCTCGCCGGGCAATAATAATAATAACGAGAGTCCGCTTAATAATTGCCTGCTTTTTTTAATTGTTGCATGACCACCTCGCGTGTTCCGTACGGAATTTAAAAAAAAAACGAGTTCGTGGAGGATTAGCGTTAGATTTTTTTATCGCCGGACAGTGTACTTTATCACAGTCCACAAACTTCGCAGGTCATGCGAGGGAATTGCTAATGGACAGCTTCAATACACCAGAGAGTGAAATATGTATGACCAGAGCGAAATTAGTAATGCCAATAGGCCAAAATTGGCTTTGGAAGTCACAAGAACTAAATATATGACCTACGTCAAATAAACTCAACAGAAATTGTTAGATGTCTAGGTGTCAAAATAGTTTTTTGTGAAACATTTATTTATTGCTGTATGTTAAATTGCTTCATGAAATAAAAAATGCCTTTGTTTTCATTTAGTTTATGGTGAAGTAACGTTCAGGTAGCGGCACATAGATATTCCAAGTAGACGACATCCCATTCACTCTTTATAGATCTTCAGCAAAAAATAAGAAAAACGGAATCAGAAATCCCTAAACATAATGAAACGGAAAGACAAACTGACGATAAGGAAGAATACAAAGAGGATATTTCAATAAAAAATGAGGCAAATCAAGAAATGGATGGAATTTTGGAATTGGTTGCAGAATTAAAAAAAAAATCAGACAGAACTTTATTTTTTTCACAAATTGTGAAGAATCTACTTTTACGAAGGCTGAAATTTTTAACGGGCATAGTGCATATATGTAATTATTCCTATGTTGGTGACAATCCATATGTCATAAAACAGTGACCAACTATCAGGAAAGATAGGTGTTCTTGATAATAGTCTGCTTGGACCAGTGCAACTTCCCAAACGTGAAGATTATTTAAACTTTTTAAATAACATTTTACAGGATTTGTCATATAACATTAATTTAAATATTCTGCATGATTTAAGGTTTCAACATGACGGTTGTCCGGACCACTTCAGTAGGATTGTTCGTGATTTTTTAAATAATATACAGTGTGTTCAAGATAAGGATGGGATAGCATTAGGATCTAGGAAACGGTAAGAGATACGAAATGGCTCAAATTAGAAAAAAATTGTATTTTTTTTGTACCTAACAATATGCTGTTTAGAAAGTTCCGGGTAATTCCAGAGATATCCGGAAAAACCCGAAATTTTGCAAAATCGTTTTATTTTTTCTGGCTTAATTTGAAAACGAATTTTGAAATAAATTGCATATTTACACTGCCAGTTTTTTCGCTCTATCCAGTGGCGTCAACATTTTTGCAATCCGACGGTTCGTCTTCGAAGGGCTATCATCAGGTTAATTTTTTAAATACGTTCCTGCTATTTTTATGTCAACCTCTAAAGTAATTTTTAATTCTGAATTAGATGATATTATTATTGTAATCGCTTAAAAGAGTTTTTAGCTATCATTTAAATTTTTTCCTGAGTACGGCTCTGACCGCTTTCAAAATATCTATTGGATGAAGTCAAAAGTGTAAAAGTCAATACAGCCAATACAATAAACAAATATCCAACAATTTTTTTTACTACTATTAGCCATACTAATTAGAAATAATAAAACATTTCTTATATTCCTATTATTTTTTTATTAGGTATAACTTTTTAAAATTATTGATTAAAAAAATTGTTGGGTATTTTGTGCTTTATTGACTTTTATAGTTATAACTTCCTCCAATAGATATTTTGAAAGCGTTCAGATCCGTACTCAGGAAAAATTTTAAATGATGGCTCAAACAATCTAAAAACATTTTTAAGCGATTACAATAGTAATATCATCTAATTCAGAATTAAAAATGATTTTAGAGTTTGTCATAAAAATAGCAGCAACGTATTTAAAAAAATTGACCTGATGTTGGCCCCTCGAAGACGAAACGTCGGATTGCAAAAATGTTGACGCCATTGGATAGAGGAAAAAAGTGGCAATGTAAATATGCAATTTATTTCAAAAAACGATTTTGAAAAATTTCGGGTTTTTCCGAATATCTCCGGAACTACCCGGAATTTTAAAACTTTCTAAACGACGCATTGTTAGGTATAAAAAAACACACTTTTTCTAAAAGAGCCACCCCGTATCTCTTACCGTTTCAATGTCCCAATGTTATCCCATCCTTATCTTGGACAGACTGTATATGGAAATCACTGGATTGGGAGACGTAGTCAATTTGCTTGGACAGCAAGGTATCCAGATCTAAATCCTTGCAATTTTTAGAGATCGTTAGTATATTTTCAACACCTGATCAGCTTTGGACACGAATTCAAGATGTCTGCAACGAATTCAGAAATAATAAGGGAATTTTTGCAAGAATTCCTTTAAATACAAGGATAAATTTATTATTGAAACTAATGGACGCTATGAGGATTATTTTTTGTAGTTTTGCTCTTGTTATTTATTTTGACGTCATTTTTTGCTGTCAAACTTCTCGTCTCTTATTTGGTTATTTGCTGAAACAATAAAATCTGATTTATTAAAAAGGGAACATATAATTTCGAAAAACATTAATAACTGTTTGAAATAAAAATTATACAATAATTATTGTATTGCTAAATTTCCAAAACCAATTTTAATTTTTTTAAATGAATTTAGTAATATGCAAGGAATAAAGTACGAAATATTTAAATGGATTTTTTTCGAAAAAGGTGTCATAACAAGAGAACATTAATGTTAGTAAAAATACAAAATCTTCAAATTTGACATCAGAAGTATTAAAAAGTCAAAGATAAAAAAAATTGTCCAAAATATACGTTACAAATGAAAAGCTTATTATCACAATTAAAATTTCACATTTACACGTGTAGGTTGAACATCTGAAAATTAATGAGTGTGTCAAATTTGATCTTTTTTTAATGCATTTTTGCAAGTAATTTAAAAAAATTGAATGCTAGTCGCAACATTCAAAAGGCTCTAGCTGCCTTAGCAAGTGTTTTTGTATAAGGTGATTTTGATCAGATAGGCATAAAGATATCTACATAATTTGAGGTCATTGCTGTCGGTACAGTTTCTGGACACCCTGTATAAATAACATAACTTTTAAAACAAATGACATTTTTAAATGACTGTCAAAAGTGGCTAGATTAATGTAAATTGTTTTTTTTTACCTAACCAATAGATATTTGCCCTTTTAATAAATTTATTTTAAAAAAAACCTGTTCTAGTATTAGTTATTGCATTTTTACTCTATTGCGGAGGTTAGCATTAGTCTAAATCACACAAATTCAAATTTTTTTATAAAAAATGTTTTCAAATACAATCAAACAATATTCTTTGATACCAGAAAGCTAGGTATACAAAATATATATAACCCGACACTTTGTAAAACGGAAAATAATTTTACAATATGAAGAAAATGATTCGGTGCTATTGTTGTTTAAAATACTTTTCTATGTTATTGATATCAAAGCTTTCAATGGATCTTTCTTGAATTAAACATCTTGCATGTAAATACAAAAAAATATATGCAATTTTGAAAAAAAATATATTTATTTTAGACTCATAATATCTGTTATTAAAATGGTACAATGTACAACTTCGTGGTGACTACTGGAAGGCTATCAATGTATAAGGATCAATGAGAGCGCCTCAAGGTTCTTAAATAGACCCACTTGTGCGCGTAACTTATTTTAATGAAGTGAAGCTCTGTTTGGATATAAAGATTACTTGTTATTTGATCCAGAACTGAAATTATATTAATTCTTCAAGTTGTTTACAATCAGTACAAATAAAAAAAATCTCACCAAATTGTCTATCTAAGTCTAGCTTAGTCTATCATGTACTAGCTGCAACATTTCTGGACAATTCTCTTATCATTTCGTTTTTTTTTATATATATCAATTCCCAATGCTACTCCTAAGATGTTTATTTTGATTGTATTAAAAAATTATACACGAAATTCGTTAAATTCAAGGACTGCTTCTTTTTCAGACATCTGTGCTTGGAACCGCCTCAACCTAACCTCCAAAATGTAAGACTCACGCCCGAGATACCCATTTACTCGATCCAAAATGCCTCAGACCATACTACGTGGTCATAGCCACCTGAACGGCCACAGTCACGTGAACGGTCACAGCCACAACGGTCACATAGGCCACAACGGTTACGTACCCAACAGTGTGAACGTTTTCAGTGGACACAGCAGTCATAGTGGACCCAACGGTCATAACGGACTTATCAGTCATAGTGGACTACTCGGTCATAGTGGACAGAACGGACATAACGGTGCTCATGTGGGTCACAACGGTCACAATGGACACAGCCATAGCAACGGACACACTTCGTTTTATCACCAGAATGGACATGCGAAAACTAACGGGCATATAGGTGAGTTATTTTTGCTTTGCGGTCTTCAGGGTGAAAGTAATTAAAATAATTGGCCTGACGATCGAGCGCGTCTCTGTCAGAGAAAACGAACGTGGTATTAGACTCATTATTCGCCTGCCATCCATTGTATTGTATTCGCGCACAATGTCAGGAGAATTCATGCATACCAATATTTAAACAATTACTTTTGCAATCTCCCATTGCTATCGGAGTTCGCGACGTTAAAAAACAATTGCTAGAAATCTATCGGCGTCTAAGATCTGGTATGACGATTCATGGCTACCTAATTCTTTGTTAATTAAAATCGGCAGCATTGCGGTGCTCGAAAGTGGCATGTTATCTCTGTAAATTATCTGTAACGGTAGTAAAATTCACATTTTGCCGTGGGTAATACAGATCTTCCCCAAAATTGAACGTTTGAAAGACACAGGAATTTTAACAACATCGATTTTCATCTTTTCCATAAAACAATTTATGTTTTATTTTTTTTAATTATGTTTTTTGTACACTTTGTATTATTGTACTTACTTTATTTCAGATAATATGTATTTAACTTTTTTGTTTCAAGAGTTATAAAAAAATATGAAATCCAAAAGTTGCATGATTTTTTATGAAGTTTTCGAAAATGATGGTAGAAAAACAAATGAATTTATTATTTTTATCATTATTATTTAATTAAAATGGATAACATAGAAGTAAAAAAATTGAAATACTATTAGGATTTAAAATAGAATATGGAGAATAATAACTTACTCTATTTTACATAATGCAATTCAAAATGTTCGGTTATTTTCTCGTATGTGCAGCTGCAAAAATCAGACCTCCTATAACTTTGAATGCATTATTTTAACAAAGAAATATTTGTGGAACTGGTCCATTGTCTTCTAAAACAAAAAGATTGGAAGCCGCTACTATGTGACAAACTATTTCTAATTAGCGGGTGATTCGCGGTTACGCGCTTGACTTCGTCGAAATTCACCGACAATAAAACATTTGTTGACTTTAAACAATCAGTGGGAGCCTGGGAGCTAGTAGGAACTAAAATAGTAAGTCCGAGTTATGCAAATCGTCGCAAATTAAATGCACCGCGATTTTGTAAACAGCGGATTTAAGGTGGGTCTACGCCCCTACAAAAATCCACGAGGGGGCAGATCGGAGTTTGTGCAAATGTTGCGGAGTATTATGCGTAAGCAGATGATCCTCTCTCTTTCGCATTTTGCTTAAGATCGTTTCCTCAGCTAGCTCCCATTTCTATGGAATTAATAAATATTAAGTAATATAATAAAATTGTATTAGAGAAAAAAGTTTTTAAATTTGTCTCAATTAGGTTTAAAGCAGAGTAAAAAAATAAGTTTTCTAATCAAAGAATCTATGTTTTTTTAAAATCATTTATTTGCGTATAATATAATTAAAGTATAATGTTGCAATAAGTAAAATTTCTTCGCTTAAATAAACTCAGCAAAAAAATTAAAGGAACAGGAAAATTTTCAAAAATTTTAAGTGATTTTTGAAAGGCTGTAAATCGTGAATAATGGTCGTATTGAGAAAAAAAAGAAGCATCTTGAACGAGATCTTGAAGCTTGAAGATTCTACTTTTGTAATCTCGAGAAAAAAATACAACGCAAACATTTTACATTTTTTTTCAAAACTGCACATGGCTTTTATAAAAAATTAAAGGAGCAGGTTAGTGCTCATTAAACATCAATTAATGATTAAAATGAAACAAATTTTTTAAATTCTCATCAACTATCGAAAAAAAAATTGTCAAGATAACGCAATTTTTTTAAAATGTTTATTTTTCAAAATTGATTTTTTTGAGGTTTCATGAGTATTTAATGCGAAATTGTGAGAAAAAGAGCGTAAAAAAATAAATAAATTTAACTAACTTCGGGTAAATACAGAGTGATTCACAAATGGCGACCAAAAATGAAACCTCGTATTCGTTGGTGAATTTTAAGTGGAGTTTTTCCTATAAAGTTTTTATTTAGAACGCTAGAAACGCTTTAGAAAGATACAGTGTGTTAAACTTCAAAAAATATTTTAAATTCTTTTAAATAATTTGTTAACAACTAGTGAGTGAACTAATTTGTTGGGCATATTGTCCAAAATCTGAGGGCTTTTCCTAAAATTTACATGCTCCAGTGGCGGAGATACAGGGTATCGGTGGCATATTTTTCTAAATAAAATAGTACGCCACTAGTTTTTAAATTATTTAAAAAAATTAATCATATTGTTTGAAGTTTAACACCCTGTATCTTTTTAAGGAAGCGTCCTAAATAAAACTCCCCTTAAAATTTACCAAAAAATGCCATTTTTGGTCAGCATTTGTGAATCACCCTGTATAATATAATACATTATATACGAAATAACTTGTTGATATACACCAAGTATAAATCAATTGTCAGTACTATCATAATTTAGTTTACCTCGCCAAACTTTTATTATTTCTTCATTCATTAACATTGCAAAATATTCTGTTACAAAAATGTTATGCAACGGACAAGGTTAACCATGTTTTTATTTTATATGAATAATTACATTCATCATAAATTATCGCGAATTTGGTAAATATGTAGGCATGCTTTAATAATTATTAAATTAAATACAAAAATAATAAACTTCTTTACTTATATTTAATGCCACCATTTTGTTTAGATTTGTTATTAGATTCAAGTTACTAATTTTAAGTTGTCTCTGACTTTGGTCAAACTATCAGCTTGAATGAAAAACGTATTTGTTATTGGAAGGTGTTTAAAAATAATCTTACTGCTAAGTCTAAGAAAGTCTAAATATGTGTAAATAGGATTTGGAGTTCCACAGGGCTCAATATTAGGGACTGTCTTGGATTCACCTTATATAAATGACTCCACATTTTCTTAAGAAAAAGTCTTTAAAAAAATTTTGGTGTGATGTGTAGGTTATTCTTATATTTATTTTATATTTACCAATTACCGTATTTTACCAATTTGGTATCTCATTGGAAGCTTTTTAAAATTGGTTGTCTAAAAGGCTAAGGAGGAACACTTTTGTAGAACAATTTTCTAACAAAAAAAAAAGGAAATGAAGTATTTATTTGGGTACCTAATAGTAACTGTTCGAGTCCGTTGTACATTGCATCAATGAAATACAGTAGTTCTAACTAATTGAATCTGAATTTTTTTCAGAGCTAACAACCATGAAGGTGAAGTTAACCTTACGATCTGGGTTGCGCACTAATCGGTTTTTTTAATCTTTTCCTTAACAAAAACGCTCGAATGTTGTTTGTTTATATGATGATTCGCATTGTACGGTTACAAGTTACTTAAATTGACCGATTTCCGTTATTTGTTTTTTCGAATCTGCAGTTACTTTGCACATATCTACATACCGACGCGTGCTTTGGCTGCTGCGGTTTTATGGTACTATTAAAAATTTTTCTGCATGGGTGCGGATCGGGAAAATTCGGGAAATGTACGGAAAACTGCAAAAACTTATTTTTTGAATAAATTATATAATTTATAAATTTATACCCTATTGTATTCTTCTTCGGTATTAATCTGTATTACGGGTGTTTTCATTCCTATCTTTTTTTTCGGGTGTTTACAATGTTTATCACTTTTTTAACTTTATGCTTATTTCTAAAAAATAATTAGCGTTGTAATAAATTTAAAATTGGACAAAATTCATATCGAGCAATGTGACAACGGCGCGGCGGTTTATTAACACGAGGTACTAAGGTGTCCAGCAACCACCAATACGCAATTCAGTTGGTATGTGGATTCGACCGTGTCGAAATGTTTTTTGCGTGCCACTACTTCCTTTTCTTTAGGTGTTTTCCAACGAGAGGACATTTTGAGCATATGTTGTAGTTTGTTTTGTACTTGTGTGTTTAAAAATTACTGAATTTTGCTTTTTGGTAAGTACCTAAAGTTTTTTTCGAGCTAAAATTTAAGCACAACACTATCTTTGTACTTTAAAATCGCTACATTTTATTTTATTTATTTAAAAACTGGAAAACAATTGTCTTGAAATTTACTAAATGTTTCACAACAATAGCTTTTTACATTTTTTCCGTAGGACAAGTCTGCCGCGTGTACACGTGGCGTGCATCAGCAGGTTAAGCGCTGTTGTCACGTTGTGATGAAACTCCCCAATATTAATACTCGCTGTATTTTGGAAACTCTTAATCTTACGCCCCTGTAATATACAATTTTTTTGTTCATTTATGATTACTCTATCTCATGCTGAAGTAATGGCAGTCAAACTTGTTACATCCTGTATACTGAAACACAATACTTAGATGTTTTCTCCGTGCTGGAAGAAAAAAAGTGGAGCTAGCGCTTATAACCTAAAAATATGAATGAAGTAAAACATGCAAATTTTTGCTGAAATCGATTCATACAAAATGCATGCCGCATTTCGCTTGGTTTTATGTTGCTAAATATTTATCCAATTTTCTTTAGTTGACTGGTTGTCCCATTAACTTTGTAAAAAAGCACAAAGTTCGACTGCCAACTAGAATTTAGTTGGCAGTCGATTCGCGGTGATAGCACATAGTTTTCTTAAGGAAGGAGTTATTTTTTCCCTGTAAAAGAAGGAAAGTTTGAAGATTCCTCTTTCGAACAAACTTTGTTTCATGCATTTTCAACAAACGAAAGCGTAGTCACACATTTAGTGCAGCGCCGCTTTGAAATATGTACGTGTTTTTCTGGTTGATATGTATGATATGTAAATTAACGTTATTAGAAGCTAAAAATTTTGAAAAGTTTCCGATAATCTTTTTTAAAATTTATTTTAGCCAAGTAAAATAATGTTTCTCCTAAATAAAAAAATCACTTTGTATATCGTAGCGTTATTTGATATTTAGACGAGCAAAAATTATTAGAAGAAAACATATTTTCTAAAATCATAAATAAGAATGTTTCCTATTTGTTGCAAGTTTTATAGCGGCCCCTGTATATTTTTTAAATTATCATACTTTTTGAAATACATGAATTTGAATACGATTTCTAAACTGTAAA